TTTGTTGTTGTTGTTCTCTTTCATTTTCATTCATGTAATGGTTAGCTTTTAGTCTCCTGCATCTCCCTTTAACTGAGATGAAGCCAGAACTTTAGCAGTTACATGCTGGAAAACTTGGAACAAATTTGTGTCGATACTGAGTATTTCTCTTTTTTAAAACAGGTAGTAGGTAGGAAGCAAATTATACTTCCTTTGATCCTAGAAAAACACTTCAATGCTTGGGCTAAGTGCATTTACTTTATTGGACATGTGGAAAGTAAATAATGGCCTAAAAAGTGAATACTGTCATGCAGATCGAATCTATAACTAAAGTGCTAGCTTTCGTATAGCTGTAGGATGTGAGATGAAAGTTGTGTTTTGGTTCTTTCCTGAAGTTGTTTGTTCTACATCTTGTTTGGAAGGGAAAATTAATTATCTCTTACTTTTTTTTGGCTGTAGTTAATTTTTATTGCTGTTCTTTAAACAATTTGTTTCTTATTTTTTTGAGGCAGAATTCTATTATTCAGTGAATTGAGTTGAATTTAATTTTGCATGGCAAATGAACTGCAGTAACTGGATTTTATTTGTACAGCATCTAGCACTGTTGTATCCACTGTAGTATCCTTGGGGACCATAATTACACAAGTAACTAGTAATTAGTCTGCTACAGCCCTTATGTTTTCAAAACACTTCACAAAGTAATTAATCACAGTGTCTCTTCTCTGTCTCTTTTTATGGATGTGGAAGTCATGGCACAAATCTTACGTTGTGTCATGCAAAGCTGGAGCCCAAACATGGGTATCCTGGATTCTGTGTGGGGAGACAAGATTGCTCACATGGCTTAGATACCAGTGTGAGACAAGGGTTGCACTGACAGTAGATCATGTCTTGCAGAAAACAAGGAGATACTGCACACATTTACACATTTCTTTTGTATCTAGTGAGTAGGCTCAATTAATGACAAATTGTGCACAGAAATTTAGTTTTGGCAGTATTTTGTACATAAACCTCCGAGGCATTCTCTTTGAATGTAAAATGTGGGTCTTGCTTTCCTCCACACCTGAGGCTGATCTGTTTTTTTGTTGTTTGAGGTGCAGTTCCACTCTGCAAAGATCGCACAGGAGGAGAGGAAAGGAGATTGGTTGTAGTTATTCTTTCAAGGGCTTTTGACATTCAGATTTGCTTAGTCAGTGAATACAGAGTTATTTCTTCTGATTTTCAAGGCTTTGAGCTTGCTTTTTGGTTTGGAGGGGACTCGCTACAGATCCTTCCATTTTCATGCATCAACCATCACTGGCAACAAAAGTAAAAGTAGCTAGCTTATGAAATATCTGTCAGCAACAATATGCAGGTTATCAGAAGTTGAATCTTCATTTAGTGTCATTCAGTTACTTCAAACAATTTGAAATATAAGTTTGTGTGAAATTCAGTGTTTTCTATTGTATTTGACTACGTGCTGCACACAAGTTGTCTCTGGAACAAAGTGTAGTAAAAATGTGCTGTTTTCTGCCCTGGACTTATGACAGGTTTCTTAGCTTCTGCATACCTCACGGGGAGGAGGGATCTGTTGGACAGAGCACTAGTAGGTGGAACTGTGTCTGAGTAAACCAGGCTCAGGTAGGACATTGTGGGTTGTTACTTAGTCTTGGCCTTTACCCGGATACCACACAGAGGTTCCTTACGGTGATCGTTTAGAGCAGAGCATCTAGGGGTGCCTGTTTGGGACCTGTAAGTTGCTAGCTTTTCATGGACAGAGGCTCATCTGTGTCCTTTGAGCAGGAGGAGCTCTGGGTGTCTCATAATTTGCCTTTCAAAGGTTGTAGGAGTAGCAGAGCTGGGAGGGTGGGACAGCATCAAGAGGAGTAAATTGAGTTCAGGCTCTTTTGTGTGGCATCTTGGAGCCATCTGTATGGTAAAAGCATAAAAATAATCTGCATTGATAAGAGCATTAAAACGGACAGTAATCTAAAAGTGCAGTTCTATTTTGGAAAGTGGTAATCTAAAAACATCCATTTTGAATCAAGCAGATCTATTTCTGGGAGTATTAAAATATCACTTGCTAAATTTAGTGACAAAAAGTACTGTTCTAAACTATTGGAGAATGATGATTTCGTGTGTGTGTCCCCCCTCCCCCTCACTGTATAATCTATGAAACAGTCTATTAAGTTTCCATTGTTTATAACCATTTGAAATTCTGTCACTTACAAATTTTTAAGAGTTATATTAGTAATTATTTCCTTGGGCATTTCTTCCTCTTGATATTGATCCATTTAGAATAGACAAATCCTTTCCTCTGAGGAAACAAAATAAAAATAGTGTTAGTGCTGAGATAAAAATAATTTTTTTAAAATATTTTTTTCTGAACTTTTAGAATCTTATTGGCAATGCAGTCAGGGGAAATACTGTGACTAATTTGAATATTAAGTGCATCCTTTCAAGGCATCCAATTCAATAATTAATTTTCTGTAAATAAGCAAGCTCTTTTTTGTACAAAAAACCCTAATTCATTCTACCACTGGTCAGAATTTGGTAGAATTGCTTTTTCCCGAATGATGCAGTTCTATCGTGTTTTAAATGTTTTTACAAAAACTCTTTCTGTGAATTTTACCTGGGAAATTAGGATAAGAGTATTCTGAAAGCAAATGAGTTTGCCTTAAACATTGTAAATCTAAAGTCAAATATTTCATTTTCTATTTCCATATTTCATATCCAATTTATTAAACTCTTATGTGATTTTTTTTTTTTTAATATTTTGTTCTTATTTCTAGTCCTTGATTCCCCCCTTCCCACCCCTCTCCCTATTAAGCATTAACCAAATTCCCAGCTTCTAAGTCCGTCCTGAATCCTCATTATTTTTGTCTTTGGTAGGACTCTCACTTTACAGCCAGATTTTTTTTTTTTCCCCTTTTTCTTTTTTTAAATGCCAGTGATGAGTTTTGATTTTTTAAGAAAAAGTTTTGCATCACTATTTTTGAGCAAAAATAGAACTTGTGTCTAGAATGTTGGGATGGAAAAATAGTTTGCCCTTGCCTGAGACTTGTAAGCACCGAGTGATTAAAAAGCTTGGCTTTCAGACTGAAGCTAAAACCAAGCCATTACTGGAGACTTCTCCAAATGTAAAACATTATTGTTTTGCTGTTAAAGTTTGTAAAGAGGAAAAAGGCCAGAAGACTGTGTTTTAATGTCAGTGTGGATATTTACAATGTAGAGACAGTAACGTGCTTGTCACGCAGGGACTTGCATATCCAGTTCTGAAGTATGATTGATATAAAAATGAGATAAAAATATGGTTATCATGTAAACCCCTTTTAAAAGATGGATAAAATACGGTGTAGTGTTTTGCGTTTTCCCCTTTCTTTTCCTCTCCATACTGAGTGTTCAGAAGTACTTGCTTTCCCTCCCCTGGAAATGAAGGCATTACGCCTTCTGTGTCAACTGGCAGCAAAGCTTTGCTCCATTGTTTACAAAACAAAGCTGGGTAAGGAATGAATGGGAAATGGAAATTAACTCGTACTTTGTGAAGGAATTTTTACACCATTGACTTGAAAAGTTTAACTTAGATAAACATGAAAAGAATAGATCACTTGGTCTCTTCCAGATCTCTGCGAATGAATATCTCTGATTTAAAGGAAAGCTGCTTTTTTCTCTTTTTGTTTTTCCGTTTTACTCCCCTCCCCCTGGTTCTGTTAGATCTTGTCCAAACACTTAATAGAAATTGATATTGTGTTCCCAGGTAACAAATTACATCTGTCTCTGAAAATGCGTCAATGTAATCATGACAAATTCATGAAATAAAGGGGAAATGCATTGCTGCAGTGCTGGGGAACATGAGTCAATATGCTTTATGTAATTATTTAATAAAACATCTCTTCTAGTGCATTGAATCAGCCTAAGATACTGAAGCAGTTGTATTTATGCAGGAATAAACAAACTTCCAGTAAAAGCTGGTGACCAGAACTATGCAATTATGCATTTCCAGAAATACTCATTAAACCAGTCTGCTTAAATTTTAATCAGACTTCTATGTATGAAACAGATAAGAGGGAGTAGGGAAAAAAAAAAAAGGAAGTATTTTTATGAAAGGTTGTTCAGGTCTTCTAGTGCCCCAAATGGCTTTGAATTTTTTTATTTAACTTCTTGTGCATGGAGTTGCAAGTCTGTCTAAAAGTTAACAAAACAAAATCCTACATGCTGGCTTAATTCTGTTTTATGGGAGCCATATTAGTATCAGCACAGAAATTCTACCTTGATAATAGAGATGTCATAAAAAGATTATGATTTGGGGATTAGCCAGTGAGATATTTGAAATAGTTAAGCTTTGTGTGGTCCATGTGAGAAATGTCAGAGGTCTGATTATCAGTGTGGGAAGTCACATAGGAGAGTAGTGTCATAGGAGATATACTGTTACACGGAAAAATTACAAATCACTGTGTACTTCCAGTACTTTCTGGTTTTTCTTATTTGTCTTCCTGGCATGTCTGAGCTATATACTGCAACCAAGACGTGAGAGGATATGTGTTGCCCAGGATCATAAGGAAGTCAGAAACAGCCATAAGAGGTTCATGACTCCAAATGCTGGAGTGAATTCAAAAGGTGTTTGATTATGTTCCTCTCAACATTAGATTTGTATAGTTTACTGGTCAGTGACTTCCATGTTTATTTTCAGTCAGCCTGAAGTAGCATCAGGATGCTCAGGGACGGTCTACTTGCACAGCTGGACGTGCAATACATGGCCTGTCATTTGAAGCCCTTACAAACCTGTTTGTAGAACAATTCAAATCATCTGAAAGGGAAATTCAGAGGGCAACTCACAAAATGTTAGTGGATGAAGACAGAAGTGCATATATCCATCCCTGAAAAGGATCAACTAACTTTTTCATGTTTCCAGTCTCTCATTTCAGGTGTTATGTGATGACTCTCTATTTGTGATGGATCACCTCGTGTCTTTGGAAACTGCAGTTATGAACACTGTTGCTTTAATATGAAATTCTAATGGTCACTCTGCTTTTTTCTCCTTCTAGGGCATCAGTAGCCTCTTCAGTTCACTTAAAGTGGTCAGGCTGCTTCGGCTGGGTCGCGTAGCTCGGAAGTTGGACCACTACATTGAATACGGAGCAGCAGTCTTGGTTCTGCTGGTGTGTGTGTTTGGTCTTGCAGCACACTGGCTGGCTTGCATTTGGTACAGCATTGGAGACTATGAAGTTATCGATGAGGATACAAACACGATCCGAACTGAGAGCTGGCTCTATCAGCTGGGGATGTCAATAGGAACACCTTACCGCTTCAACTCATCAGGCTTTGGAAAATGGGAAGGCGGACCAAGCAAAGATTCGGTCTACATCTCCTCGTTGTATTTTACAATGACCAGCCTCACCAGTGTTGGATTTGGGAACATTGCTCCGACTACAGATGGAGAGAAGATCTTTGCTGTTGCTATGATGATGATTGGCTGTAAGTATTAGAGATTCTGTCTCTCACACACACAACACCAAATAGCTGTGTGTCATTGTCATGGTTTAACCCTGGCTGGCAACCAAGCACCACACAGCCACTCGCTTGCTCACTCCCCCCTCCACCCCAGGTGGGTTGGGGAGAGAACCAGAAGGGTAAAAGTGAGAAAACTCGTGGGTTGAGATAAAAGTTCAGTAGGTAAAGCAAAAGCCGTACATGCACACAAAGGAAAACAGGGAATTCATTCACCACTTCCCATCAACAGGCAGGTGTTCAGCCACCTCCAGGAAAGCAGGGGCCTATTGCACATAATGGTTACTTGAGAAGACAAACACCATAATGCTGAATGTCCCCTTCTTCCTTCTTCTTCCCCCAGATCTATATGCTGAGCATGACATCATATGGTATTGAATATTCCTGTGGTCAGTTGGGGTCAGCTGTCCCAGCTGTGTCCCCTCCCAACTTCTTGTGCACCTCCATCCTACTCGCTGGTGGGGTGAGAAACTGAAAGGCTCTGACCCTGTGTAAGCACTGCTCATCAGCAACTAAAACATCCCTATACTAGCCCCATACTAGCTACTGTGAAGAAAACTAACTGTACTCCAACCAAAACCAGCAGTCATGAATAGTGATATCATTAGAACATCTGGAATCATGTCAAATATTATTATGCAGCTTAAAATATTTTTGGTGGCAATATAGTTACTACATACTTTCTTACTAGTTAGTTTTAAAATCATAAGTAGGAGTAATGCTGTGACTACCAAAAATTCAGTCATTTTGGAAGCAATGATCTGTCAATATCTTTTCAATATCTTCTTGTAAGTAAACCATAAATTGTGTAAAGGCTGAAGTATTAAAAATCAATGCACCAGAGTGGGCACAGACAACCCGTGTGCATCCAATTGGTATGTGGCAAAATCTTGGGATGGCTGAGAGCTGTATATATTGGACAAGCAGGTTGGTGAGCGGAAGAAGGTCCAAGAGCATCTCGTAAGGGAGAGAGAACAGTAGCTCTTTAGAGGCCACAGACTCCACTGTGGGCTGAGCATACAGTCAGAGCCTAAGGCAGTCAGGAAGATACTGGCCTTGGGCGCCTCTGGCTCACATTTCCTTGTCGCAAGGGTTTTGTATTGCTAAGCTGTCCAGCTTTTGGCTGTGTCATGTCGCTTCAGTGCAGGATGTGCGCTTAAAGTGCCTTGAGAGCTACTTGAGTTAAGAACCGTGTGGTGGCCACTGCTAAACTAGGTCATGTTTTTCTAGATAAGGGTGGAATTAGAACCAAAATAAGGAAAAAAATTCTACCTTGTACATGGAACAGCATCTAATTTTATGGAGAAAGAGAGAAGCTTCTGTACAGTAATAGTACATGTAGAGGAGAAAAAAAGTCAGTCCTTGCTAAGCAGAAAATTAAATCCAGGTATATAATGAAACTCATTTGGCAGCACAGTGCCTGTTATGATGGGAACCTGAAGCATGTGTCATTTTACAGCTACCCTGAAATTGCATGTGAGATTGCATGTGCAGTGCTAAGCAGGCTGAAGGTTAGTGAGAAAATGTATAAAGGCAGGCGTTCTTGATTGTGTAAGGGTTGGGATATTGTAGCTATAAAAGCTGTTAATTTTGTGCTTGCTTTTTCCACTGCTGGAAGTCCCATCATCCTAATAAAACACCCGTGTAGCAGAAGGGAAATTTTATATAAGACCTGGGGACAATTCTCATGGTTTTCTCATGAGAAGATGCATTAGACAATGTAGCAGTGTAGTACAAAATAGGCTTCCAACCCTATTTCCTGTTGAAGGTACCTGTTTTAATAGGGCATGTCCTGACCTCTGGCTTATTGGTCATTGGTTTATGCTCATGATGCTAGCTAGACAAGAATAGCTAGTATTATTACTTAGAACTATGAATATTGAATGAACATAACCTTCATAAAATCAAGAATGTACATGGTGTTATTTTGGAGTTGTACCTGCTCCAAACTCTTCATATGAAAATGTGGTGGAAAGAAACAGAATTTATGTATGTTGATAGATATCTGCTCTGAATTCTAAAACGAACTTTAATTTCAGCAGGTTGTAAAAAAAAGAAAAAATAGTGTTCTGGCAATTTTAAATCTCATAAATGCAATCACATTTGAGCAAAACTATTTAGTTTGCATTTGGCCTTCTGGAATCTTAGGTGTAACCCTATAACTGTCTGTGTATCTGAGCACCTTTATTCTGTGAACAACTACTTGGAAACCATTATAACTATTCACAATATGTGTTTGCAGGAAAGGCAATTAAGTAATCCAGTTTTTGAGTTTACCTGTCTGGTTTTTGTAAGGTCTTGATTGCTATTAACATGCTGAAGTTTTGAGCTGTGGTCATTCCTCAGGTTGGGAGGAACAAAACTGATTTGTTTAAGATGCAGCTATTTAGAACTTAATTGTTGACATTCTTCCACCATAAAATTCTGTGTTAAAATAACACTATTTTGCCTGTAGAATTAAGCTCCCAAACATTGATCTGAGTTTGAACTAGGGTTATTTTAGAAGAATTTTGTCTGATGTGTTCAGAACCTGAAAGGTATATAGCAAATGGGTGGGTGATAGGTGTGGGGCAGGGAAAAGAGTTTTCCTGGCTAAAAAAGCTCTCACTCAGAAAAATTCAGATTTGTCCCTTGCCAGGTAATATGTTTGTTATGAGCTGAGCTACTCACTTATATCACAGATGTTGGCTCCATGTTCCTATTATGGTCCTCATTTTGTAGATGTTGGCTCATGGGGTGGATAGAGGCTGTGGGTGTCCAAAACATCAGAAATAAGCTATTTCAAGTCAGTTCTGCCAGTGTGTCTCTGCGCACTACTAAGAGGAAAGGGGATGTGATTTCTCATGTGTACTTTGCCATTAACACTGCATTTATTTTAGCACGTGTCCAGTGATGCATTCTCAAAAGCTACTGCTGTCGTTCAGTAGCACAGGGAATACAGTTTTCTTTCCATGAAGGGTGCAGAGAGTGCCTAATTGTTTGACTATCTAAAACTCCAGTTGAAGATAAGTGGGATTTGCCGAGTCCAACCTCAAACATATCTCTCCATTAAGAACTTCTACACTAGAGGATAAGTCTTTAAGCACTATGTGAATTTATCTTGGTTTTGAAGTGGCTAGGTATAGTCAGTGAAATAAGTAATTTTACAGCCTTTTCTGTATGAAATGGAAACAACAGCGTTACTTTTTCTTTGAAAACATTACCATTTTGGCTTAGTTCAGTAAGACAGTACGTTAACAAGACTGGTTTTGAAATTCCAAAACTGCCACTTCAGTGTCATAAAAATAAAAAAAAAAATTAGGGACAGAAGTATAACAGCCAGTGTTAATATTTCAAAGTGATTTCAAAAAAATTTCACTTTAAATAGGCTGGAAATTTTCAATAGGAGGGTAATTTTTTTTTCCCCTTGGGCCCATTAACCTCCTGTGAATAAACAGTAAAACCTCCATTGGCCTGATGGGGACAGATTTAGATGAGCGGAAGGAAAAAGACAACGCTTCCTTCTCGTTGTGCGCTTCATCTTCTGCTCTTTTTGAACAGCAGTAAGCGCTGCGTCAAAAAACCCCATGGCTCGTTAAACAGTACCGTGGCCAGCTAAGCCCACAATTTTATTAGCACAATTTTATTAGCAAGATCACCTTTGAAATGTTGATCTTCTCTTTATTTGTAGAAGAAACTGAATTTTCTTGAAGTAGAGAGGGTGGTCAACGTGTGTGAGCACGTGTGCAACCCCCACCTTCCGTGCACGCGCGCAGGTGGGGCGCGGGTCCCACCTCAGTGCAGGGTAAGCGCTTGCCTCCCACTGGTGCCTGGCCGAGAAACTGCAGCAGTGCGGGCCTTGCTCCGTCCTGGCTCCAGCTCATCATCAGAACGCCGCCTTTGCACTCTGCCTCCGAATTTTGGTGTCGGTGGTCTTGACTTGGGTTCGCGCCACGAGCTATGAACCCGTGGTTTGGTAGGGGCACTCAAGAGCTGCCGCTTCCCTGGAGCAGAGGTGGGGACATCAAGTGGAGGGGAGGTAAGAATTCACTTTCGGAAGTGTGAGCTCTTCGACTCAGTGAAATTAAAATTGAATAAATTATATATATATATATGCATGCATACATAGCATATGTGTATGCATAGAGAGAGAGTGCACATATATTACAATATTTAAAAGAAAAAGAATTTTTTTTTCTTCATGTTTGATAATCTGAAATAATTATTAATGGAATGGATTTACAGAATCACAGAATGGTTTGGGTTGGAAGGGAACTTAAAAGACCATCGAGTTCCAACCCCCCTGCCATGGGCAGGGACACCGTCCACTAGACCAGGTTGCTCAAAGCCTCATCCAGCCTGGCCTTGAACACTCCCAGGGATGGGGCATCCACAGCTTCTCTGGGCAACCTGTTCCAGTGCCTCACCACCCTCTCCGGGAAGAACTTCTTCCTGATATCTAATCTAAACCTCCCCACTTTCAATTTAAACCCGTTACCCCTTGTCCTGTGACTACAGGCCCTTGTAAAAAGTCCCCCCAGCCCCTTCAGGTACTGGAAGGGGCTGTAATGCCTCCCAGCAGCTGCCTTTTCGATTTGATTTTGCAAAATTCTTGTATCTCTGGGGAAGTCTGGGCATGGTGTGTGCTGCCCTGAGGAGCATTGCCGGGTTGGCACAGTTTTGCAGGCTTTCTGGTCCTTGTTTCTAGCAAACTTAGTTTTTGGTTTTGTTTTGATTTACTTGATTGACTGGCTGAGTATCTTGAATAGTTTCTGGGAGGAAAGTTGTGAACAGCAGCAATACTTTTTTCTTTGGTCTTGGAGCGTTATCTCTTGAGCCTCTCTGTTTCAGGAGAGGAGTTCCTGTGTAAAGAAGTGATTTTAAGATGTGTACTGCTGATTCTCCACAGGCAAACTGATTGAAAGGCTTGTGGTACAGTCAGCACAGGGCTATGGTGACATCCAAAGAGGATGTTTATGTCAGAAGGG